TTTATCTTGTACAATCTGTTACATGCACGTTTGGCATTTTCGCGACAATTTTGAGCAATATTTTCTCCCAAAATAGAATACCAAAACAGACAAGTCGATTGCACAAAAATTGGCTCGCAAGAATACTCCCAATTGCACCGAATCGTTTCCGTATACAAACAGAATCAATGAAAAATAGGTCGACAGAGTTAGTCACGTGTTCGTTGTACGCATGAGACAGAATATTTAGTAATTTAATTTATAGTACGCTTATCGGATCAGTATAAATATGCTGTTTGATTTAGTACACATGTACCGTATCCGACATATGCAGAATTTCCGCTTTAGACGGAAACGTGACTAAATGACGCAAGGATGCTCGTGATGCGAACTTTGACCGTAATTATTCAAAACGATAAGAATATAAAATGATAGGGTAACAAAATAATTTCTTTCTTGAAATCTTTAAGTGTTTTATAAGTAATTCTATTTGATTTACATGTACATGATATACATATGTATTGATGTATTTACAACAGATGATAATTTATTATTAAAGTTAGCAGTTTAAAGTACATAAGTACATTGTATATTCTTTCCAAGAAAAAAATGCGCATTATTCGCATGATTTAAAGAAAAAAAAAAAAAGTACGCGTATACACGTTACGTAATTTGTTTATCAAGGAATCAAAATGTACCATTTTATTTTATACATTCGTATTGCCATTCATACATTCCTGATATGGAGTCGATAGCTGGATTCTAGAAACGAAACTACGAAACAGAATCTATCGTCAGAATTCCATCAATACATAATGTAGAAAATGGTGATGTAGAAAATGATTTGTCGAGTAAGTTGCTTCGTAAATATTTGACCAGAACTACTTATGTAACGCGGGATTTTCAGTTTTCCAGATTGAGTTTTCCATATTTAGGAAAATGGAATTGAAATTATATGAAAGAAATGACGTGTAAAACTTTGATAAATTTAGATAAAAAAATCATTTCACTCGTGATTACACAGATACGTTAAAGTAAAATGAAAGTAAAATGGAAAAAACTCGACGCGTTCTTCGCTAACGTAAGAAAATAAAAAGAAACAGAGAGAGACTCGTAGCTTTGACTTGTGAGTAAAAAAGAGAACCCGTAAGTATAATACATTCTTTCAGACGTAAAAAATGATTGATATGTTTCATGTTACACGTTTGCAAGAAATAGGAAGAATGTTATTAGGAAAATTCACCAGAGGTGTAGAAGAATCACACATGTGAATTTCTGATTCGTACATTATCTATATTCGAGAGTAGTAATCAGAAAATGATCAAAGTGTAAAAATGCAAAGATATAGCAAATAAGTACTTGCGTCAAAATCGAAGTTCGAAACTTCGATCTTCATTCGCACAAGTGCAGTAGCCCTTGTCTACGATCGCTGAGTACACCAGTCGCTCTCTCTCTCTCTCTCTCTCTCTTTTTGCACTGACGGTGAGAGAAGCGCATTTCTTTGGTGCAGTTGTACCGAGTTACAAGTACATTAGCACCGAGCGTGAAGCTAGTGCTAGAGTATCGACCCACAGCATGTGGTAACTCCATTCTCCCTCTCTCCGTCTCTCGTTCCTTTCTCGTTCCCTCTTGAAATGTCGGGCCTCGTTCACCTCATTCTCTATCTCAATTCTTCTAATATAATTTGCTCCTTTCTCTTTCTCTGGCAAGCCCCTTCTCTTTTCCACTCTGCGAAATATAGATTTCGGCAAGGTCGAAATTTACAGAATCGTCCACGGGAATTTGAACCCTACGACGACGTGGTACATTGTTGTGCATGCGCGAGGAAATGCAGGAACGTGCTATCACATTGTCACGCCCTATCTCTGCAGTCGGCATTTGAATCTGTCGGAGATGATCTGTCGAACGCGCGCAACACCGGAACACTATCTACCATTCTTTATTCATGCTAATTCATAAACATGACTCTTCGATGAAAAAAAAAAAAAAAGGATAATACCTGGCCTTCGAAATGTGCTGCGTGTCATGCGAGCAAATTGCAGACAGTGTCTACCTTCCTCATTTATTCTTATCATCAGGCTCTTTCCGGCCTCCGAAAAGCAGTATTCAAAAAACTTCCATAGTCATCGGTTTTTCCTACTCCGAGAGGATTGAGTGTAGGCACTCTTATATAAGCCGTCGCGATCTCGAAGGGGGGAAAGATAATCAACGGATTCATCGACAGGATTCATTGAGAAGTAAATGTCATTTCTATATGCATATTTGCAACATGCATTTCCGTTTTCCCGTTTTCGCGGGTAGTTTTGAAAAATCGTGGATATCGGAGAAAAGAGTGGAAGTAACTTCCATATGGTTGTCAGATGTAATTACGAACGAGAGGAAATATATATATATATATATATATATATATATAT